AGAACAATCAAATGGATTTATTTTTTCCATCCAAGGTTTTAAACCAATTTAATGGTAACTAAATGTGATAAGTTGATTATATCTTTAGAATGTCCCCCCAAAAGTCAGCATTTCCAGAATTAAAGGAGCTGGACAAGTTAAGAAAACATATATTTGATGTTTCCATAGTTTTCTTTGCTTTTTCATTTCAGATCCACAGAAGGCTGCAGCAAGTGCTTCCTATGACCATCTGACCTATATTCTTATATCCTTGGGTTATATAGTTTTTAATGTAAGATATACATTTTTCTGTTAATATGATACAATTTTAAGAATGATCTGACTACAGAGCAACTGGGTTTTGAAAACAGAAGTATCCACCACGGTTCTTTTCAGTGCAGAAATCAGCAGCGGAAGAAAACTCTTCTCAGCGATGAAAATGAAGAAACACTGCTAGGAAAACGGGAAGATTCACACATTTGGAGTCATGACCTGCTTGCTCTTGCACAGGAGAGAGCCTTCTTTGTTCCTATTCCCAGACTCCCTCCCACAGGAGGCCAGGCTGGCCCCATCTTTGCTCTCCTTCTGCAAGAAGGCAAAGACCTTTCTCTTCAGGCAAGCCTTCCCTCAATAACTAGCTACAGTGGTGCCTCGACTTATGACCATAATTCATTCCAGAAAATAGACTTAACTCAAAATAAGTTGAAAGCATCATTTCCCATTCAAATACACTGGAATGCAAATAATCCGTTCAGGCAACAAACAAACAACGGCACACAGCAGGCCCCGTTGGAAGGCGCTAGGGCTTTTAAAAAAACAAATCAAAAATAAAGTACACAGCAACCTCCGTCGCTGGGGCTTAAGAAAAAACAAACAAAACCAAAAATAAACAGCAAAGCAAGCCCCAAAGGCACTGGGGCTTGAAAAAAAATCACAAAAAAAACAAAACAACAACACAGCACAGAAACATAACCCCCCAGCCCAAACCCTGCAAAACCCACGCAGAACAGTTTTTAAAAAGCAGAAAGCAGCACCTTACCTTACCAGGCAGCCAAAAGCCTCCCCCAATCTCACTCACTCTTGGGGCAAAAGAGCTACAAAGAAGCAGCCTCTTTGCCACCAATGATTAGCAATTTGAATTTCCCGCCTTTTTCCCCTGCCTCTTTGTGTTCCTAACTTGAAGCTCCAATTGCAAGTCGAAGCAACATTTTGCGGCTGGAGCTGGTCATGACTCAAAATGGTCATAAGTCGAGGCACTACTGTACCTGTGTTTGATTTTTTTGGATAAATTGTTATGCATTACTGCTGTGACTGAATTTTTAGCACTGCTTGTGTTTGCCATTTCTCAGAGTGCCATTTTTAAATGGTATACTTATTGTTCTTAGCATTAATATTGCCCTTTATTAATGTAAGATGCCTCTTGACTCTTTGTTATTTGCTTTAAATAACATTGTTTATTCATCATTTTCAACTTTAAATATTGTCTTGCATGGTTATAAGCTGCCTTAGGTCCTTTTCAAGGAGAAAGAAGAGGTAAAAATATTTAAAATAAATAATATAGTGAAGAAATAATAAAATCGCCACTGACATCCCACCATGCTAATGTTGTTTTCTTTCCCACACTTGCTCTTTTTTCTTCCTATGTGGGAAACTTCTGCTTAAAGGTTGTAGCTGCATTCTGTTCCAGTGACGCAAATACACTTCCTAGCATGAAGAGGCAGCTGCCAGCAGGCGGGGTAACCCCTTATTCTGCCCTTTCGCTTAGAGGTGGAGCCATAAGATCGAAGGGTTATTTTAGCCAATCCTGGTTACGATTAGGCAACTAGTATCCTATCTGTCTCTCTCACAACATACTATGTAAATCATACTAAGTAAATAAAAGAGCTTTCAGGGTGTTGCCTGTAGGCTCCGCTGGGACTCACAAGAGTCAGAAGGGGAGGAAGACTTCCAACTAATCTTCCTACTCCTATATCAGTTGCCGCAGTTAATCACCCTCCTTTACTGTTAACAGATAAAGAGTTCTTTGGTCAGCGTTTTTATTTTCTGGCCACCATGTAGCCAACAACTCCTCTGCCATGGATGCTTATCGTCACCACTTATTGAATTGGACATTGCCAATTCTGCGGGTAACTCCCGTGCACCTTCACAGTTAAGGCCTCCCATGTCACTAGGAGGCAATGGGGCAGGCGCATCACAAGTGCATTGCTGCATGACATGCCCTAAACCAGCATCCAAACAACTGACGGGTCGAGGATCTGCCATTTGTTGGTGCACAGCTTTTTGTCAGAAAACTGATGTTATTCCTGATAACTGCTTATCATCACCACTTATTGAATTGGATATTGCCAATTCTGCGGGTAACTCCCGTGCACCTTTACAGTTAAGGCCTCCCATGTCACTAGGAGGCAATGGGGCGGGCGCGTCATGAGCGCTTTGCTGTTTGACATGCCCTAAAGGTAAAGGTAAAGGTTCCCCTTGACAATTTTTGTCCAGTCGTGTCCGACTCTAGGGGGCGGCGCTCATCTCGCTCTTCAAGCCATAGAGCCAGCGTTTGTCTGAAGACAATCTTTCCGTGGTCACATGGCCAGTGCGATTTTTTTAGGCACGGAACGCTGTTTACCTTCCCACCGAGATGGTACCTATTTATCTACTCGCATTTGCATGCTTTCGAACCGCTAGGTTGGCGGGAGCTGGGACAAGCAACGGGCGCTCACTCCGTCGCGTGGATTCGATCTTACATGCCCTAAACCAGCATCCAAACAACTGACGGGTCGAGGATCTGCCATTTGTTGGTGCACAGCTTTTTGTCAGAAAACTGATGTTATTCCTGATAACCGGCCCAAGTTCCCAAAGGCGGCACAGTCATTTGTGGTGATGCTCCTACCAGCTTAGGGCATACCGGGGACATCAAAGGCCTCAACCCCAAAGTTACCAGCCGCCACCCCTAGACGTGTGGGCAGGCAGCGCCCTGACCAGCAGATCTGCAGGCAGGACCGCAAAACCGAGGGGTCTCTTTACTGCACCTGACTTCTCTGTCGTTGACCAGTCAGGCCGTCTGGCCCCTCGTCTTTCCGATTGGTGTTCCTTCATGTTTAACACTTGGGTGCTCTCTATCATAGCTACTGGATATACCCCACTGTTATAGGCCACGTTATAGCCAGCCCCCCCCCCACACACACACACAAGAAAGGATGGAGGCCTCTGGTCCATCCTTGATTTTGAAGGCCTGAAATCTTTTATTACTCTACGTAGATTCCGTATGGCTCTCTTGGACTCTGTTATTCACATGTTATATCCAGAGAGTTGGTTGGATGCTTGTTTTCATGATGGCATCCGGTCAGGCCATCAACATTTTCTCTAGCTTTCAGCAGGGGGAATCACTGTTTACCTGCAGCTGGATAACTGGCTCCTGAGTCAAAGTCACAAGCTGGTAAACACACATCCCTGACACCGTCCCTGTAAACATGTCGCTTCTCACATTGGGGCTGGACCAAAGCGCTCCTGATCAGTCATCTCCCTCAGGGGAGTGCTCCTTACTGCGCACACCGTCCCACAGCAAGGGTGTCTCGCCCAATCTCCTTCTAGAGGTGGGACGTTGTCAGAGGGACTGGGACAAATCACCTTCCTCCCTCCACCTTAGTTGCAGGGGTAAACTACTACTGTCCATTCTAAGGGTTTCACTCCATTCTTCTCCACTCCGGGTAGATCTGGTAGCAGTTCTCCACCTGTCTTTACATTCGGAAAATCTTTTAACAAGTCAGACTTTTGAAGAAGCGTCTTCTCTTTCTGTCTGTATCGCACAATCATCCCTTTATCTCTTGTTTCAATTCTAAATTCCCATGCATCACCCCACTCCTTTATAAATTCCTCACAAACTATTAGATCTTGCTCCTCCCCTTTCCCTTCCCCCTGATCTTCTGACAGACATACTTCTATTGCCTTCCTTTCTGTTATTCCTTCCTCTTCTATTTTTGAGTACACTTAACCTCACTTAACAACGATAATCCATTCCAGGAAAACCGCTGTTAAACAAAAACATTGTAAAGCAAAATTAAAAAGCCCATTGAAATGCATTGAAAACCCCTCAATGCGTTCCAATGGGCTAAAAACTCACCGTCCAGCCAAGATCCTCCATACCGCGGCCATTTTTGGTGCCTGTATAGCGAGGAATCCGTCTCTAAGCACAGCGGGAAACCATTTTAAGCACCCGGTGGCTATTTTGAAAACCCGACGATCAGCTGTTTTTGATCATCGTAAAGCGAAAAGCAGTTCCCGAAGCAGGGAACCGATCATTGCTAAGCGAAATTCCCCCATTTAGACCATCGTTTTGCGATTGCAAAAACATCATCGTAAAGCAGATTTGTCGTAATGCAGGGCAATCATTAAGCGGGGCACGACTGTATGCCTTCTACATGTGCACAAATCTCTTCCTGCACACTTTTGATCGAGGACAGCTCACTAACATGCTCTCCTTCACAGTAGACCTATCGACTCGGGGGGGATATGTAGAGTCAGTTCTATAGATCCCTTTGCAACTTCCTTTAGCATAGTTCAGTCTCTACCAAAGCAGACCCATTTTAATAAATGGAACTTATGAAGAAGTTGACTCACCAAATCCTACGATTCAATGGCTCTATTCCTGTGCAACTTCCTGTGCTAATGAGCAGGATTTCGCCCACTAGATCTACCCATGTCTAGCTTCAGAGCAATGAAATAAACTATAACCATCAGGCATTGAAAAGTAATTGGATACAGAGAACTCCCACAGTGGGGAATAGAGTTCCCCATCTCTGGCCCCACAGCAATTCCTAAACCACTGAGCTATCTAGCCAGCCTGGAAATGATAAAAGCTCGTATTTCATAGACTCATAGGAAAGCGAAGTTGGAAGGGGCCTACAAGGCCATCAAGTCCAACCCCCTGTTCAATGCAGGAATACCATCAAAGCCTATCTGCCAGGTGATATTTAATATCACACTCACCTTGAAGCCCAATTAGGATCACTGTAAGTCGGTTCTGGCTTGAAGGCACATAGAACACACACATGTACACAATTTATTTCCATTTAAGGTTGAGCAGAAAAAGACCCTGTAATAACAGGCTATATGTTTGCAAATAGTCTCTTTGTATTTCTTTATTTCTAAGGGAAGTACTTGCTCCTTTATAGTTCCTCAGTTGGGAGCCCTAGACACTTTTGATCCCAATAATGAGCAGAGTTTGCAGAAGTTCCTTTTTTCAACAAGTTGTCCAAGATGCCTTCGCCCAGCCTGACTGATGCCGCTCCTTCCATTGCTGAGGCCCCCATCTTTCCCAAAAAGTGAAATTAAAATGATAAGACTTGCAGCGGACTGAGTTTATGTTGCGTGTTCACGACAGCCACCCTTCACAATGAAATGGAGAAAGTATGCCCCTCCCTGTATATCCCTCTCCAACACACTCTGCTATGAGTCCATGAAGGAGAAAGTATAAAGAGGCAAGGGGGGGAAAAGGTCATCCTTCTTTCCCTTTTCATATATCAAGGGCCAGCGACCTCCTATTCACACAACTGGCTTCAGCAACATTGCCAACAGCACTTGTCCGCAAAATGTTTCAATGGTCCCCCTAGCAAGTAGCTCTAGAGTAGAGATGCCGCTGCATTTTCCTACTCATTTCCAGTTTCCTGAAACATTCTGGCCCATTTCAACCTGTGCCGTGCCAACAGTGTTCCAGCTGTAGTTGTCTTTCTTTCCAGAGATGAATTGCTAGGAAATGATAGGAGTTTAGCCCTTTTCTTCCTTGAGCTACAGCTTCAGGAAATGTTTCCTTAACGTAAACTTTTCTTGGGCTTAGGAGGCCGTCACTAAGCAACCCCCATTTCTTAATTCTCTCTGTCCCTCTTCAGTTATGGACAGAGGGATCGCTCCTGCATCTCAGCGTCCATCTGGAGCAGAGCTGCTGTTCTTCAGGAGCTGTGTTTCTGTCTCTTCCAGAAGCGTTTGACATCCGAGTGGCCTGCAGGGGTCACCACCATGAGGCGTTTGGCAGGGTTCTCAAAGACCAGCACCCCCAGTTCCCTGGCGTGATCGCGCAACAGCTCAAAATCCACCTGGGATAGGAACTGGTTATAGAGGACACCTAGGGGAGAGGAGGAACATGTTGAAAAGGGCAGAAGAGAACTTAGCAGGAAGTGAGGCAAGAAGCAGAAAAGGGAAGAAAGCAGAGATGGGCATGAGAAGGAAACAAGCAAGGCTAAAGGCACCAGGGAGACCATCAGGATAGAAGTTGGAGGGGAAGCAAACATAGGTTTGGACCATCATTAATTCAGGAGAAAAGGAAAGGGCTGCAGAGGTTGATTCACAAAAACAAGATGTGAAATTAGTGATGAAGGAAAGAATAAATTAAAGGAGATGAGAGAAATAATAAAATACACCATGCAGAAGAGAAGTGGTCAAACAAATACCAAGGGATGGTGAAAGGAAGGGACGCAGGGGAAAGACTGGAATAAATAGATCTAGAACAGTAGTTCCCAACCTTAGGGCTCCAGATGTTTTTGAACTACAACTCCCAGAAATCCTGGCCAGCACAGCTTTTGGGGGAAACCAAAAGGTTGCAAACCACTAATCGGAGATGATAAGGTGAACAATAAGTTAAAAATAAGAGAACAGAGGGGAAAGAGCAAGAGAAGTTCAGAGAAGGCAAGAAAACAAAAACAGACTAACAGCTGGGAAAAGGAGAGAGGCAAGAAGGAGCATGAAAGGAATGAAATTATCTCATAATATAAGAAAAAAGGTGAAAAAGAAAACATAAAAATCAAGGGAAATAGAAAGGAAGGAAGAGGAAGGGAGATCAGCCGAAGGCAATGAGGTGGTGGGAGGATATTCTCAGAACACAAAAGATTTCCCAGCTGGATATACTTTATTTTTCTGTGTATAAGACACCCCCATGTATAAGACACCACCCCACTTTTCTAACCCCAAATTAAGAAATCTAAGTGGGGCTTAGCAAAAGGAATGGGAAATGGATCAAAGCAATCCCGCAACTGCACGATCATTTTGATCACTTTCCCCCTTATACAGCCACGGGATTGCTTTGATTCTTTCCCCCCTCCTTTTGTTAAACCCTATGGGACTTAGCAAGCAGAGGGGAAAGCAGGGATCAAAGCGATCCTGCAGTGTTTTGATCCCTACTTGCCTTTTGCTAAGGATTAGCAAGTGTAGGGGTAAGCAGGGATCAAAGCCCTGCAGGAACAATTTGATCCCTGATTTCCCCTCCACTTCTTTTTGTACTCTCCTTAGCTTACTTCCATGTATAAGACGACCCTCAATTTTTAGTCTAAAAATTTTAGACAAAAGTATAGTCTTATACACAGAAAATATGGTAAATCTTTTCCTCGCACCGCTCTGATCTGCTCTTTCTTCCACAGACACTCACCCTCCGAGAAGCGCAGCCTGTCCCGCTCCAGCTCCCACAGTCGGATCTGGTCTGTGATTGTGGGCGGCAACACCGGAGTCTGTCGGGGAGAAGAACCATGAAGATGTAACAGGCACAGGGCAAAAGAGATCCCCTCTCACAATACATCCGACGGAGTGCAATTCAGTCCATAAAAACTTACACCATAACAATTTGCTAATTTTTGAAACATTGCAAAACACTTCTTTACTTTTGATGCAGCACAGTAAAGCTCGTGTCAGGCAACGGCAAAGCTTCTGTGAGTTGGTGGGTCCTCAATACTGTTAAATGGTGTTTCTTCCCCTTGAAGATTTGTGAGTGCCAGAGGTCCCACCCCATGGTGGTGTTGGTAGTGGTTGGGTTTCCTGACAATAATTCCATGGACTTTTGGTTGAGAGAATAACCAAGAACACAGAACTTATTGAAACGGAGGACCAACAGAAACAGCAATGCTGTCCTTAACTCCCTGCGGGAGCTTCCTAAAAGGTTGAATTCCTTGCACTGTCCCCCCTCCCGCCACCTCCAAGAATGCCCTTTCAAGAGTTAAGGACACAGAGAACCTTAATAGACCTGGTCCCACAAAGCAAGAGGTGAAGTCCTGGCGCTGGCTGAAGGTTATTCAAAGACAGCAGGTAGAACCGAGTGGAGGATATTGGTGCCCACCCCTCTGCCACCTGTGATGGTGTCTTCATCGTAAGTTCTGTAGTGGGTCATAGCAGATGCTACTGCTCCCACTGGATGATGTGACCACCAAGGTCATGTTGAAGATATGGTAGTCTCCTGAAGACCCGCATTCGTAGGTCCTTCCTTTACTCAATGGGCCAGGCTCAGGAATGTCAGCCCTGGGCTCCCCCCTCCCAGGCAGCCATAGTGCAGTATTGGGAATCCCAATACTCGATGGGCCTTTCCTCTTTTGAGGTCTCCATCCCTTCCTCCGTTTTCCTGAAGGAAGCCTGAGGCTTTGCCCTCTCCCCCTTGTGGGTTGACTTCCTCAGCCAGCTCTTTCGCTGGCACTTTTTGTCCCTCTCCTTTGCCTACAAGGGGCCCAGCAGTGATGATCTCAGACAGTTCATCTCACAAGATTCGAGTGTGAAGCCGGATGGCACCCCCAAGTCCGTCCTTATTACTAAAGAGACAGAAATCCCATCATAATACATAAAAGGGGTTACTTTTGGAACAGAATCAGGGTGGATAAATATCAAGGATTTTTTAAAAATCCAACTGTTTTCAATCATGATTTCATTTTAAAAAATGATTTTTTTAAAAAAATTAAATTGCCAAAAAATCTGATTTTTTAAATTTAAATCATGACTTAAACCAGGATTTAAATCAATTTGATTTTAAAAAAATCCTTGATTTTTATTCACCCCAATTCTGTTGCAAAAGTTACACAATTGGATTTAAATTAAATCCACCCTGAACATAATTGCTGTAAATTAAGAAATCCGCATACACATTATCCATTGCATTACCGAGTCCCATGACTCAGGATACGACATTATATGGGAATTTCTTAACTTGAGGCCATTCACCCCTACCAAAATTCAGTAGCACTGCAACAAAATTTCAGCCAAAAGTGTTAAAGATGGGGTTAATTTTTGAAAACAGCTTGGAAACATCAGTTAGTTTAAAATAAAGCTGTTAGTTTACTAACTGGGACAAATATCTTGTTCACAAGCCTTAGAAACATCCCTAACACTGTCAGCCAGGGAATATCCTTCTACATACACAGAGATTCCCCACTATCTCACCTGTTTCAGCATCACAGCGTGAGCTCGAGTACGTAAAAAGTGAATGATCTGTACAAAAAAGATAACAGTGAATAAATCAGACTTAGCCTCATCACAATTTTACTGCTACTGCTACAAATCCAATTTGTTATTCCCAGTGGCTCTCACTAGGCTAGGAAACACCCCCTTGGAAGCCTCTGGAAGAGAAAACTAACCAGCCCGGCAGACAAAAGCAAATCATATTTCTTTACATTTCTTTCAAACTGGATTATATAATCCAGGGTCTGGGTTTCAGTGACATTTCCCTGGTTCTCACCTGATCTGCTGTGATGCCATTGGCGATGGCCTGCTGCACACTTTCTCGGGTGACTTGAGCCACTACCAAGTTGGGGAAGCGATAGAGCATCTCAGAAAAAAGGGCAATGAGTGCGATCTGTAGCTCAGAATCTGATAGAAAGAGAGAAGAATAAAGTGTGAGAATTTAAGCCTCCCTAAAAGATACACAAAGGGACGTGGTGGCGCTGTGGGCTAAACCGCAGAAGCCTGTGCTGCAGGGTCAGAAGACCAATCAGTCGCAAGATCGAATCCACGTGATGGAGTGAGCGCCTGTCGGTTGTCCCAGCTCCCGCCAACCTAGCGGTTCGAAAGCGTGCAAATGTGAGTAGATAAATAGGGACCACCTTGGTGGGAAGGTAATAGCATTCCGTGTCTAAGTCGCACTGGCCATGTGACCATGGAAGATTGTCTTCGGACAAAACGCTGGCTCTATGGCTTGGAAACGGGGATGAGAACCACCCCCTAGAGTCGAACACGACTGGACAAAAATTGTCAAGGGGAACCTTTACCTTTACCTAAAAGATACACTCACAAGGAGCTGGAAAGAATGTTTCTAGAAGAGTTGTGGTAGTGCCAGAAAGATATTCTACACATGTTGAAGCACACTCCTCTTTTATTATTGTTTCACATGTTTCATTGTCATCCTCAGAAATGAAAGTTTTCAATATAAGAGAGATTATAGATCAGCAGTAAAACAACTGCTTTGTATACAGTAGATTCCAGGTTCCATTCTTGCCACTTCCAGTTTTAAAGAAAGGATCACAGCAGATCATCCAAAAGAGCTCTGCTCGAGACCGCAGAGAGTGAATGTCAGTTGGGGTAGAGAATACCAGGCTAGACAGATGAATAGTCTGGGTTAGCAATTTCCTAGATGCTTGAGAAATAGGTTTTCGGTTATGCCTTGGCTGGGAAAAAGTTCCTCAAAGAGGGAGAGAAGACCCTGGACATTTGAAAGCTCTTTGCAATACCTTGGTTTCATGCTAGTTCAAGCATCCATGCATTACTCTTAGATTTGCAGAAATGGGTGGACAGAAACAGTCAACATGAAAACATGCTTTCACTGCCATGAATGACAGAAGACAGCAGGCAAAGATCCTGCGCACAAGCAAACCATCTTGGCAAAGACAACAGATGTGCATTTTGGATTTTTTTTTTAAACTACAAACCCCATAATGTTTTATATTTGTATACTTACTCTTTTTAGCTTTTCAGTATTGTCTTTTTTAATTATGTCAGCTGCCTTGAGTCCTTTTAAGAAGAAAGGTGGGGTAAAGATATTTTAAATAAAATAAAATAAAATAAAATTCTCCTTTCTAGGAGCTTCCAAACTTACAGACACCTAAGCTATCCTCACCTGGAGAGCAGGCCCAGCGGACCGGCTCCATGCCTCAGGAAGGTGTAAAGAAATCTTCCCAGTAACCCCTGGGCAGTTTATTTCTCGAAAAGGAAGTGAGGCCTATCCAAAGCATGAATTCCTGCCAGCTGGACCTTCTCTCCAAGTGAACATAACACAGGTGTCTGTAAGGTCTGGGCCTTGCAGGTGGGATTCCCAGAAAGGAGAATTGTGGGGTTCATAGTCCACAAAATCCAAAATGCAGATCCTTAGCAAAGACACACTTGGTGCAATCTCTCACCTGTGTATGCGTAAATCCTGTAGTTTGTCTCCACAACAATAAAGCCCTGGTTGTGGGTGTCGACTGTGGTGCCTGAGATGCCAGAGGAAAGGTTGATGGCCAGGCGGGTGGGGTAGTACCGCCTGGATTTCCTCTGCAAGGGGAGAAGAATGGACAGTAGCAGATTAAAGAGCCTGAAAGCTGTCAGCTCGAGTTTCATTCCCAATTTTCAATGTAAAACCAAGACTTCAACTCGCTAGGCCCAAGCCCTGCTTACTGCCTCTAACACTGTCTGTTTCCCAACTTACCATATTCCATTTTCCTTAACTCTGCACCCACCTAAGTCTCCGAAAGCCCAATGTCATCGAACTCAAATCAGGGCTCTTATGGCCTTTTGTGGCTTACCTTCCTCTGAAAGACTAGGCCAAACTCCCGGAGATGTTGAAGGAAATTCAGCAAAGAATCACTCATTCCTTCCACTGAATAATCCTGAGGACAGAGCGATTAGAAAGGGACAAGTTTACACATACAACTGCATCATTTGATTATTCATCCCTTAGTGAAAGGCGACTGAAGCACGGTGAGGTGGCTCTCCTGAAAAGCATTAGAATACAGCTAGATTTTCTGTCATTACAGGTCTATTCGTGATAGCTCATCCACACAAAGAAGTTACCGTATTTTTCCGTGTATAAGACTATACTTTTGTCTAAAATCTTTAGACTAAAATTGAGGGTCGTCTTATACACGGAAGTAAGCTGAGGAGAGAACAAAAACAAGTTGAGGGGAAAGCAGGGATCAAAGCAATTCTACAGTTTAGTTGGGACAACTAAAAACATGGTTATTCAGACAGGCCTTCCCCCCAGTCACCTAAGTTCTTTTTTCCCCTTTTTTCTGGTTCTTAATGTTGCCATCTTGGATAGTATTAATTATAATAATTGCATTATGCTAGTTATTTCTCTACATTGTTTTAATGTGTTTTAATTTTTGTAAGCTGCCCCGAGTAGACGTTGTCTAGAGGGGCGGGGTAAAAATTGAATAAATAAATAAAATAAAATAAATCTAGGGCAGCTTTGTGGGCAGAGATAGGGAGAGACCACTCCCAAACTGGCAGGGAAAGGGACCCCGCCCATACTTATGAGCTGACTGTGCACTTAACAATGCTTTCTTCTTACATGATCTGTGGTACCAGCCTAGCGCCAAACAAAGCCTATTTTCCTTTCTCACCTTGCCTAGCGTGGAGAAGCTGAGCTGGAACAGGAAGGAAAGGATCTCCACCAGGTCCATACCCCGGTTCTGTGAGGCAGAGAAAGAAGGGGATTATAATCTCCTGAAAAGAGACAGGCAGAGCAAGGAGGACTAAACCAGAAACCAGCTTTTACCCCACCTCAGCTGACTGGAGATACTGCAACATGAAGTACCACAGCTGAGACGAGGTGTCCAGCAACAGGAACTGGAAGCCCGAAGATGTGATGCAAGGCGGCTCTCCAGGTTCACTGCTGAAGAGAGGTTAAAGGCAACAGAGAGTTAGGGATCTTCAAAGAGTGTTAAGCCAGGAAATTAAGCTTTCCTTCCATATGGTTCATGTCCTCTTTCTGTACTGAAATAAAGTTTGTCTCCTCCCCATCCAATGAATGCAAACTTCCAGGAGGTGCAATGTTAAACCATGTCACTGTTTTACAGGCAAAACAAGAAACAGTCTTAAGGTACCTAAAGACTAACAAGTTTGGTTTGGCATCAGCTTTCATAGATTGTAGCCTCCTTCAAAACTTATTCCATGAAGTCAGCTTTAGTCCAACAAAGCTTATTTGTCTTTAAAGTGACACTAGACTCTTTGTTGCTATATCAAATGGGACCGCATAAGGCTATTCCAGCATCCTTCACAGCGGTTTTTGAACACAGGAAGTAGCCCTTTTTACAGTAGAAAGAGACACTCTGGAAATGAAAGGAGGTGGAGTTGTAACTACTTTGGCGACAGCCACAAAGCATTAGGAAGAGAGCATAGGGAATGAGAGAAGGTGGGTGGAGGTGTAACTACTTTGGTGACAGCCACAAAGCATTAGGAAGAGAGCATTAAAATGCCGCTGCAAGGCACAGATTCCAGCAGGCTTTCAACACATGGTTGCCTATCAATCCAAGGGCAGCCTTTGGCTGTTTTGTGGTTCCCTTGTTATGCTGGCAGAAAGGAAATGGCAACACCCACAGTGCCTGATTGCTGATAACTACCAAGTCCCCAGTGAATGTGTGAATTTCCAGTGTGGTGCATCAGATAAAGTGATGAACTAGAATTTCGGAGAACAGGGTTCAAATCCATGGAAACTCCGTGTGCATTTCCAGTGTGGTGCATCGGATAAAGTGATGAACTAGAATTTTGGAGAACAGGGAAACTCACTGGGGTAGTGGAACTGGTAAAACCACTCATTAAATATCTCACTTCCCTTGCAAGCCCTATTAGGGCCCCTATAGGTCAGTCCTATTTGATGACACAGAACACACACACAAACCTTGATGCACAGCAATCAGATGGCTTGGCATATGACCAAGAACCCAACTGGAAATATTAATTAGCAGCAATTAACTTCTGTGAGTTACACCAATTCCATTCTGTTGGGGTAACTAAAAACATCATTTTGGCTACTCTGTTTTTAGCTTTCTTTTACTTCAATACTTTTAATTTTATTTTCAGGCTAATAGCATTTTAACATGGTAACACTGGTTTAACCGATAACCCACCCCCCTGCATCTGTTTTTTTAAAATTTGTATTTGCTTTAATTTGGAGATGAGGTTTCTTCAGTCCGTTGGAGAGAGATGGGGAATAAACTAGATAAATAAATAAGTAATGTATTTAAGAATGAAAAGATTCATTTGAAATTCTTTGGGTCTTCACAACAGGCTGCATCATTATTGAAACTACAAATGAGGTCCAGAGAAGACTCTCCATTCTAATCTCTGTTAGCTCCTCAGTTCATTTTTTCCTCTGGGTTTCATTTTCCCCTCCACATTCTTTTGCCTCTTACCTTTTCATCAGGCCTGCTTCAATGAGCAGCTGAGCTAAGTCTTGGCTTACGGCTGCACTCGGTGAGCCAACCATGAAGTGCAAGATGACCTAAAAGCAAACAATTTATTTAAAATATCTTTATCCTGCCTTCCTCCTTAAAAAAAAGACCCAATGGTGCTTTACAGCATTAAAAACAATATTAAAAGCTAAAAACAGCCTAAAAAAAAGGACCCAATGGTGCTTTACAGCATTAAACACATAATATTAAAAGCTAAAAACAGTGAATTATTCAAATAGTAAATAATTAATAAAATTACATTAAAAATGTTAGTTAAAAACATTACGAAAACAGAAAACCAGCAGGTAGGTTGCCACTGTTTTGACTGGGCCTGCACTGAAACGTCTGGGTGGGTTGATTCACCACGACGCAGACTGGTGCATAACTACAGCAGTGCCTCTTTTTGAAAACTCAATCCTCAATGGTTCATTAGCAAAAAAATCCTATCCCCATCCTACCGCCCAGACTGACAGAAAAAGAGGAGGTGTGGTCTCCAACAGAGTCCTGCGATCCCTGGACCTCCAACAAAGGGCAAACTTCATTCATTCATTCATTCATTCATTCATTCATTCATTCATTCATTCATTCATTCATTCATTCATTCATTCATTCATTCATTCATTCAGCCGCCTAGAGTGGTCTGGTAGTCCAGATAGGCGGGATACAAATCAAATCAAATCAAATCAAATCAAATCAAATCAAATCAAATCAAATCAAATCAAATCAAATCAAATCAAATCAAATCAAATCAAATCAAATCAAATCAAATCAAATCAAATCAAATCAAATCAAATCAAATCAAATCAAATCAAATCAAATCAAATCAAATCAAATCAAATCAAATCAAATCAAATCAAATCAAATCAAATCAAATCAAATCAAATCAAATCATAAAAACACCCAGCGAGGGAGCCAGGCGGATCTCTGATGGAAGGCCAAACTTTGGATGAGCTTATGCATCAGTCAGCAGCTGGGAGCTCAGAGCTATACAATACACCTTTAAACTGGTCAAAATGGGGGGGGGGGTGAGAGAGAAGAAGAAGCAAATGAGAGCACTTACCTCCCACCTCTCCTCAGCATACTTGTCTAGAGATGGGACATCCCGGGCATGTTTGTCTGGGCCTAGTTGGCTGGTGTCATCAGACCAAGCCTTCCCTCTATAGAGATAAGATGAACAGGAAGAAATGCAGGTTAGCTTGCAGGTTGAGGTGGGCAGATTGGTATTGCTTGGACGACCCCTCCCACAATTCCCCAGGTTGCCCGCGATCATGGTTGCCCCTACTTGTAATAATGGTTGAGCCCGTGGCCACATTCATGTTGTGATGACTACAAACTAAATGGGAAATGTGCACCCCAGAAGAGGAAGGGTGACCGCCTTGGCCCTTCCCATTTCCACAGGACCAATACAAAAGGAAATAGGCCTCCTTCTTAACACTCTGCAACCAAACCACATGTCATAAACTTCTCCTTCCTCCACTAAAAGCGCTGAGTCTCCGCCTTGACCTAACACAGGCTTCCTCATGGAGCTCCCTTACCCTCCCAACAAAGCAATGCGCAGGTTTTCCTTAAAGATGGGGTTCAAGAAGAGTCCCTGGAGGCCCCCTGGGAGCAACTGGGTGTGCCAGAGGCGCAGCCCCAGCAAGACGTCCGAGCTCTCCTCTTGTTCCCTGAAAAGAGAGAATCGCACATGAGCCAGGAAAGTAGAAAAGTGAGGCCAATGCTCAGGACACAGACATGTATGAGGAGCTAGCCAAGCATCACCTTCTCATGGAGAAGACTGTACTGTCAGGTACATGTATCAGGCTACAGACAAGATGCTGGGAAACTGCAGTGTGCTGAATGTGGGACCGCCAGAAACATCACACTTTTTTGGGTGAAGGGAATTACAGCTTCCAGGATCCTCCAGCCAATGTGACTTCTAAGTCTAGAGCATCAGCTGAAGCGCACCGGAGTCATTCAGCAGGTTCCTCATATCCTATCAGCAACCTGTTCCACTATACAACAGTATACAACAGGATTTTGTTGTTGTTTTTGAACTACAGGTCCCAGAATCCCTAAATACTGCCTTGGCGATTCTGGAAGCAGTAGTCCATGAAAGAAAGTTTTCCAAGTTTGAGCCATTCCCTGTTTTCCAGAAGAAGGGGCCTGTTTCGCACCATGTACACCTTGATGCTGCTGTAACAAAAACAATAGAGATGTGTAGTCCCCCTGCTTCACCTGCCCTATACACAAATATAGGTCATGTAGATGGGGGCCAGCTACCCTTTACCCTTCAGCAAACATTAGAATTTCCACAAAGCCTGTTAAGATCTTGACTGGGCTACGTTTCTACAACTATCATGCAACAGGCTTAGCGAACCATCATTTATTCTGCTGGACACATCTATGAAAGCCAGAACAGCCGATTGGGAGTTGGACAACAGCAGTGGCAAGCCATTCCCTGAATGGCTTCCATGTACTTTGAAAACCCTACCAGGGTCGCCATAATTTGTGTAAGTAACTTGACTGTACATAACAACCGCAGCACACATTTTGATGTCAACTGTTATTGGTTGTTGATTTTGCACTCCGTTACACAGCCTGAGCCTTTTGAAATAGACTAAATTAGAAATCAGAATAAAAGCTTACTTGGCATACTCCTTCTTTACCCATGTCGCAACAGCTGCCTGAGGGAGGGGCTGTTCTAGAAACAGCATCCGCATGACATAGTTCTTCGCCAACCCGGGAAGCTCTCTGAAGTCACAAGAACAGAAAGACAGTCTCACAAATACCAATCAAGACTCAACAGACACCACAAAGATTCAATTTCTCTTTCTACTGTATATATGATATACAACCACCCCAGAGCACTATACTTCTGGCTGCACTTAAAGAAAGAAGAAGCACACCAGCATCCTCCCAATGTTTTAGATGACAACACGGATCATGATCATTCTGGATTGCTAGACATGCAGCTTGGGTTCAAGGGTGTTGTAGTTCAAAACACTCGGAGGATGTGAGGTTGCCTATCCTATACATTTTAAACATGTAAAGATAGGCACACATACACTGTTGTGCAGATGGTATGGTGAGCAGGGGCATTGTTTGGAAATATTTTTTTACCATGTTAGTATGTGGATTCTATTCATTACGGGCCAAAAGAAACTTATTAAGGTCTTGACTATTTTCACAGTACAAGAGAAACATTATATTTAATTTGGGGGGAAAAAAACATTTTTTCTTAAAAAAAAACAATGGCCCAGCGATGGCGAACCTATGGCGCACGTGCCACAGCTGGCAAGCAGAGCCCTCTCTGCGGGCACATGAGCCATAAATTGCCAGATCGCTACACCTGGCAGTCAAACCTGAGGAGGCAGCTGCAGCCGCAGTGCTGGCGCCCCGACAGGTGGCGAGCCAGGATCCGCAGCAGCTGGTGCTGGGAGGAGTTGGTCACGATCCAGAGTGGGATCTGGAGGTGCCTCCATGTCTGGGATTCCCCCCTTCCACTTCCACAACTGCATGCTGTTTCCTCCCCCCCCCCCCAAGTTTGGGCACTCAGGCTCAAAAAGGTTAGCCATCACTGACCTAAATCCTTTTGCATAGCTACACAGGCAGAAAAAAAAAGAAATAACATAACTCACAGCAGCAAATTGCCACTAATGAATGTGTTTCTGCTTAGATTCCTCATTACACAACAGTCAAATAGACTAGTGCACAACCAGAAATCCAAGCTGGGACTTATTAATTACTGGCAATTTGCTGCTGAAGGTTACATCATTTCCCTTCTGCCAGTGCAACTATAAAAGTTGATTTTGTTCACTCATTTCAAGATCCACAGTCACTGGATCTGAACAGTGGGCACATATTTTTCTGTTCACAGATGCTGTCACATGTTCAAGCCGGACTTAAATGTGATACTGAGATGCACAGGAAAAATTACAACAGAATGAGACTGTAGCTCAGTGGTAGAGCCCACGGCTTGCATGTAGATCCATCTCTGACATCTCCAGGTTGAACAGAATGAATTGCAGCTGAAATCGGTGAGAATCACTGCCAGTTCGTTAACACTTGACCAAGTCTCTGATTCTGTGTAAGTCATCCGGGATCTTTATAACATGTTGCCTCTCCAGATGAAATACCAGAGATCTGTGATACTAAATTGAATATAAACTTGAGGAAAAAAACACATATTCTTAAGAGGTATATGGACGTTTTTATTTCCGGCATTACCTTGTGTCCCACAGAGAGTGAGAAAAACATGTTCTGATATTCCAGAGAAAGTGGGGTTTTTTAACTCACCGAAAAACTGCTAGACAAGTAGCAGGATGATTGTAGAGGCGGTCTAATATGCCAGGGCTGAGGCCCCGTAGGAATTCGTGAAGGTTCTTGCATTTCAACTGTACCCTTTGAAGCTTCATCACAGACTCCATAACAGCAATTGTACTTGAGGGCCGAGACATTTCCACTGTGATAGCTGAGAGGAAAAACATTTGTACAGTACAGCTTCAAAATATGGTAGGCCACCGAACTATCAGCTGAAAACCCAAGCCTGGCAAGACATGCTCAACAACTGACTTTAAAATATTGTAGGCCACTGAACTATCAAGCCTGGCAAGACATGCTCAACAACTGAAAAACAGACTTGAAACTGTTGAAAATACTGCACAGTATATCCTGAAACCTGGTTTTCATCATACGGGGAACATTTTTTTTAAAAGAGTGCCATCCAGCAGTTCTTGTATAAGGGGACTCATGTAAATCTTGGGGCAAATTCTCCCTCCTTATAATGTGCTAGTTGTGTTGTCAACCCTGAGTGCTCACTGGAAGAAACTGTTGAAAATACTGCACAGTATATCCTGAAGCTGAGGCTCAAATACTGTGGCCATCCCATGAGAAGAGAAGACTCCCTGGAAAAGACCCTGATGTTGGGAAAGTGTGAACGCAAGAGGAGAAGGGGGGCGACAGAGGCTGAGATGGATGGACAGTGTCATCGAAGCTACCAACATGAATTTGACCCAACTCCAGGAGGCAGTGGAAGACAGGAGGGCCTGGTGTGCTCTGGTTCATGGGGGTCACGAAGTCTCGGACACAACTAAACGACTAAACAATAAAGCTATGTTGTGGACATGCACCCAATCATGAAATGGGGCACAAATTCAGGAATGCAACCAGCACCTCTTTAACAAACAGCAATTTGTCACCAATTACACAATTTCCACGGCACAAGCATAAATCAGAAACAGGATTCTGGTCATTTACTTTTTAATCTGTCTTTCTCCCAGTTCATGGACTTATGAAATAGGGAACAGATACATGAAACAAATATTAAAAATTCAATTAATCATAGGGTAAGATTAAAAGACCATTAACTTAACACTATTTAAAAGTACTGAAATGGAAACATTTTTAAACGACTAGAAAAAAAGAGAACTGCACTAGCCTTTGCCCTTCTCTGTGGCCTAATCAGTGGTCAAAAGCTTGCTGCAGAAGAAAAATGCTTGCTTGTTCATGGAAGGCAGTAGGAAGGATGCTGACCTAGCTTGCTATGGGAGAGAGCTCTGCAGCCCCAGAGCAGCCACTAAAAAGACCCTGTCTCGAGTCCTCTCCAGGCATTCCCATGAATGCAGGAGGGCCAAGAGGAACAATTTCCCTGAAGATCCCAAAACGGGGGCGGGCAATGCTTCAGATACTCCAGGCCCAAGTCATATAGGGCTTCATCTGTCCTGCTCAGCATTTTGAACTGGGAGGCATTTTCGTTAGAAAGAGTTCTTGATTGTTCCTCCGAAACTCTTTGCTGGAAACGGGCCGAGCCAAGGTGGGCGTGAGCAAAGGCAAACACGCGTGTCTCCATGGACGCTGGCCCCCCTCCAGATTCAGAAGGTCAGATCTGATCTGTGGGTCATCCATCACACACTCCTTGAAAAAAACCCTTGATCGGGAAGGGGAGAGCCTCCTTCCCCCCAATTCCCTTCTCCCTAACTTTACGGAAAGGCACAATGCAAACCCCGTTTTGGAGTGCAAGGGCACATACACGTGAAGATGACGCGTTCCCACGGAGCGCTTTTCCTAGCTTTCGTGCAAACATGGGGACGAGAAAACCGGCATTATAGCTTCAGCATCCCTTGCTTCCCTCGCCCCTATTCAATCTCCAGGAGCTAGAAAAAGTCCCAACGAGGTATTCTTTGTTTCAGTGTTGCTTTCTCTCATCGCACGCCTTACTATTAGGCGACCATCGCGCTTACCCCTCCACACAGCGGAAGACCGCACGAGGATCCGCCTCCTTTCTCTCTCGGTCGCCGGGTTCTCACGTTCACAGATCGCCGGCCCTCCCCTTTTCCCCATCATGCCTTGCGCGGACGGGGAAAAAAAACGCCCCGTGCGTGGCGTGTAGGGGTTGCGACGCCTTCAGCACCGGGTTGTGTCTCTTCCTCCTTGCCAGGAAAAAAAGGTTGCTAACGAGGGTCTGCAAATCTTCGGTGACTCTCCGGTGTGCATGTTCCCATTCGCAGCGCATATATGCATTTGGCCGTGAGTCACTCGCCCTTTTCTCTCTTAAGGAATTAAGAAAATTAAAGGGGGGAGGGAAGGGAGGGGAGAAGGAGAAGACCTTTAAGATTAATCTGATTGCCGAGCCGGAGATTGGGGGATCAGTTCCGCTTCTTTTGGGGGGGGGGCTTGATGATTCATTCATAGAGTCCCTTCCAACTCTGCAGTTCTGAGGTGATGATGATTTGGTTCAGGGGGAGCTTTGGAGGGTCAAAATCCACTTCCTCAGACACTTGCCTAAAATATGTTGGGGAATGAAATCATGCATACATTGCATACATGATTTCCTGGGCTGGAAATCTTGTGTGCAATGTATACATGATTTCTGGCATGTCAGAAGACTTCCCAACTTTATTTCACCATGAACTTCGGTAGATTATCATCCACTTTCTTGGACACTTGAGGAATTCAGTTTTTAAAAACAACAATCTCATTAAAAAAAAAACCCTCTTAGGTGTCTGACAGCAGAGCCAGAGGCTGGGAGTTCAGTTCAGTTCCCCTCCTTTAGGAACAGATAAAACAGATAAACATATCACATAAGAGCCCAGCCTATGTGGTCTTGGGCAAGCTGCAGAGTCCCAGGGTGCCCCCAGAAGAACCAAAAGGTAAACCATGTCTGAGTATTCTTTACCTGGAAAACTCTGAAAAAGAGTTAGCATAAGTCAGAATTGACTTGATGGAACCTGGAATCATAGAATAATGAAGTTGGAAGGGGCCTATAAGGCTATCAAGTCCAACCCTCTGCTCGATGCAGGAATACATATCAAGCAAACCTGCCAGGTGATTATCCAAGTTTTTCTTGAATGCCTCCAGTGTTGGAGCACTCACCAACTCCCGAGGAAACTGGTTCCACTGTCTCACTGCTCTAACAGGAAGTTTTTTTCTGACATTCAATCGAAATCTGGCTTCCAGTAACTTGAGCCCATTGTTGCGTATCCTGCACTCTGGGATGATGGAGAACAGATCCTGCTCCTCCTCTGTATGGCAACCTTTCAATTATTTGAAAAGTATTCGCAAAGGCTTGAAATACTTGAAACACTTGAAAAGTGTTATCATACCACCTCTCTGTCTTCTTTTCTCAAGGCTAATCAGTCTTTCAGTCCTGGTTTCTAGCCCCCTGATCATCCTTGTCGCCCTCTAACATCATCATAATCATTAAGTGATTATTAAAAGTATGAGAGAACTGCCCGCTTTTTTCATCTGGTGGTCACCCCATAGGAAAAAAAAGTAAATCTGTCTTTAGGAATCCCCATCCCCCAAAACATGAGTACAAAGGAAACTTCATGTTCACCTCAGAACTGACTCCCTTTTGTTTTTCACATTAGAGAACCTGTTCCATAATATTCATGATGAATAAGAGACTTGGTATATATAATATGATTTCCTCTGATATGTTGGAGTTGCCAAGCAAAAGTGAACGAAGATTCTGAAACAGAAGCTAACTGCTCATGTCATTATAGCTCGTCTATTTAATTTGCTTGGCCTTGTCTTTATGCAGATTCCAGCCAGATAAAAAAGAGATTGGATATTTAAAAGAAGCACATGACTTGGATACTTGTGAGAGAAGCGCTGTGCCCGCAGCTGCGTAAGAGTTGAACCCTTCCACTTCTGAGCATGAGGTCAGCCCAACTTAACTACAGCGCCAGGCGGCACCTGTGTTCTCTCTGCCGCCTGGTTCTCCAGGCTCAGCAGAAGAGCCATGATGGATGTGGAGGCTGCCGATCTTTCTCTCAAGCAAGTACGACTGACTCGCATGGTCAGGTGGGAAGAATGGCCCATCTAAAAAATAGGACAGAGAAGCAGAAGAGGCAGCGGAAGAGGATGGAGTCCATCGAAGCCCAGCTGGCTGCTGGGCTAAAGGTGAGTGGGGTTGCCTCTGGTGTCCATAATGATGATGATGCCAAATCTGGATAAATTGGCCATGGGAAAGAAATCAAGATACAGTGGTGCCTCGCTTAACGACGATAATCCGTTCCAGAAAAATCGCTATTAAGCTAAAACATTGTAAAGCGAAATTAAAAAGCCCATTGAAATGCATTGAAAACCCCACAGTGCGTTCCAATGGGCTGAAAACTCACCGTCCAGCGAAGATCCTCCATACGGCGGCCATTTTCGGTGCCTGTATAGCGAGGAATTCGTCCCTAAGCACAGTGGGGAGCCATTTTAAGGGCCCGGCGGCCATTTTGAAAACCCGACAATCAGCTGGTTTTGATTGTAGTAAAGCAAAACTCGTTTCCCGAAGCAGGGAGCCGATCATCGCTAAGCGAAATTCCCCCATTTAGACCATAGTTTTGCGATCGCAATTGCGATAAAGTGGATTCATCGTAATGCGGGGCAATGGTTAAGCGGGGCACGACTGTATATATAGATGTGGGTGGAGCTGTAGAGCATGTGGAGAGCAGGATGAACCTGGGTGAAATTTAAATCCAGCTAAGCCGTTCGTGCCATCAATTAGACAGAATTCAAGAGAGATGTGGGGTGCCTTAGATTCTCCAGATATTACGGAATTTAGCTCCCATCAGCCCTCCTCGGCATAGCAGCGAAGGGGTTCCAGATATGGGAGGACCAAAGATTCATTCACCCTGATGTAACTAGATCAAGATCAGCCCATGAGCTTTACAGAGAAGTTGGGGTTTGAACCTGGATCTCTCCGGTCCTGATCCGTTATTTTAATGGTCTTGCTTTTATTATCAGTATGTGCAGCTCTGGAGGAAGCACGTTTCAGCACCAGGCTTGCAGTCTCTTCTGATACAGGCTCTGCTGCAAGTTTAGTTCTCATTTTGCAGGGGCATGCAGAGAAAATGTATTTGAACAGATAAAACTACCTTGTACACAGGCAAAAAGGTTTATCTGTTTCATCGGTTCTTAAAATGCAAGGCCTCCTTGCCCCAGAGTGGTAGTGAAGATGTTCCAGAGATGGAGGAGAGATCACAAAACTGAGATTTGTATTGCAAAAACAACAACTGTTTCTAGAATCTTTAATAAATTTCTGTCCTGTATATATTATTTCTACAATGTAAGAGTTTTCCAGCAAAAAAGTTGTTTGTGCTTATTTTTTAATTTTAAATATTCTAATGTGTTTTTGTGTTTTACTTTCAAATTGTGAAGTGAACATTTTGGCTAGGCAGGGGAGGGCGCAGGGGCAGGTGGTGATAAATAAGGTCCAATTACAGTATTCTAGGAAATGTCTCTCGACTTGCATACGGTGTCTTCTGCTTCTAAACGGTAGGCCTTTGCCTTCCTGAGCAGAAGGGCAGTATTTTTATATTATTCCCCCCCCCCAAGTTATTCCTGATGGACAGTTGCTTTCTCCTTCACCACACAGGTCTTTTCAAAGCACCTCTCTGTTTTTTACTATTGTTTATTTATTTAGTCTCTTTTATCAGCCACTTTTCTCTGTAGCCCTTAACAAGGTGAAAACAAGAAAAATTAAATGTAACAAACAAGGTACTGAAAAATAAATCAAAGTTATCTGTTTAACTGTTCACAGGAGGAACCTCCAAGCCAAGGGAAGGGGAGAACTCCGAAAAGCACACTTCTGTACAACACCCCGACTGAACCAGGGCAAAAGAAAGGTAGGAAGGGTAAACGTAATCATAACCTTAAAACAGCCCAAATAATCAATACCAAAAGGTAGTAGTCCTAATCATGACCAGCTAGGGAACGTATATTTAAACAAATACACCTTCAGTAGCCATTGAGAAATGAGAAGAAGTAATATCTTAAACTGTTATATAAACAGAATATATTAAGGTCCTGTTGCTCAACCCTCTTGGGCTCTACTTGCCCATTTCAGTGATGCTGTAGAATCCAGTAGAAGTCCTGTGAGAAGCCAGGATACGAAGGAAGTCCTTTTCCCATGATGGCCTATGTGTTTTTGTTTGTTTGTTTGTTTTTGTTTTTGAACAATTGCCCTTATTTTTGCTTAGTAGTGTTGACTTGCTACTCTAGATTTTAGGGTTTATTTACTTTATTTATTTTATTTATTCAAACTATGCAGCTTGCTACTATAGTGCTTCCATTAGAATCTGAGATTTTTGACATTGTGCCTGTGCATTTTCTAGATTTTTTTCCTCATCCAGTATATTCACAATAAACTTGCCTCTTCAAAACAAAATGCTGTTATTTCCCAAATGCAGATTGTATTTATAGATTGTATTTATTTAGTTAAAATATTTTTTTACCCTTTCTCTCTCCTTAAAAGGACCCAAGGTCACTAACATCATTAAAAGACAATGATTAAAACAATGCTAAATACTAAAAAGGATCAAACAAATAGACTTGGAGAAATGGTAAACAAAAGCAATACTAAAAAGCAAACAAAAGCATTACTAAAACATATCCAAAGCATTAAGGCATAACACTCCACTTAAAAATCCCACTCAGGCAGCCAGCCACTTAAAGAAAGCTTGCCTGGAGAGAAAGGTCTTGGCCTGCTTGCGGAAGGAGAGCAAAGATGGGCCCAGTCTGGCCTCCAGTGGGAGGGAGTTCCAAAGTCTTGAAGCACCAACAGAGAATACCCTCTCTTATGTCCTCATGAAACAAACCTGTGAAGGTGATGGGATGGAGAGAGAGGCATTTCCTGATGATCCTAACACTCGAGTAGGCGCATAATGGGAGACACGATCCTTGAGATAGCTTGGACCCAAGCGGTTTAGGTTTTATATATTAGAACGAGCACTTTGAATTGTGCCCAGAAATGGATCAGCCATCAGTGGAGCTGCTGTAACAGGGATTATGTGATCCTTTTCACCAGCCCCAATTAGCAATCTGGCTACAATGTTTTGTTTCTAGTGAAGTTTCCTGATTTTTTCCTTCGGTAGCCCCACATGGAGCATGTCACAGTAATGCAGCTGGACTGTAACTAAGGCTTGTGTCACTGTTTCCAGTTTATAGGGAGTGCACAAATGTCTGGTTTTGACTGCCAGCCTTTGTGTGTTTCATTCTTTCCTGCAGATACCTCAGGGCCGCTGCCTGCCTCTTATAGCCCACGCTATGTTGAAGCTGCTTGGTACGCTTGGTGGGTGAAGGAGGGATTTTTTAAGCCAGAGTACCAGGTAGGATATCTGTCCTGTTAAAAGGAAAATAAACTCTGTCATAAGCAAGTGAAGCAGAGACTCTTTCCTGAGAGATACATGGATAGATGAGCAAAACCCACTGGATGACTTAAGGAAGACACAATAGGTTAAGGCACTGGTTCTTAACCTTTGTTACTCAGATGTTTTTGGACTGCAACTCCCAGAAGCCTTCACCACCAGCTGTGCTGGCTGGGGTTTCTGGGAGTTGCAGTTCAAAAACACCTGAGTAACAAAGGTTAAGAACCACTGGGTTAAGGGATGGAGGGAGTGGATAGAAAACCTTTTTTTCATAGTTTTCCTCTAACAGGAAAACCAGTCATAGTTGAATCATTTGCCATTAAATTCAGAGTGGAAGTATTTCTTGCAATATGCGATTAATTTTGGACTTCACTCGTGCTAAAGCAAAGCAAAATCTGCTATTTATATACTGCTCCATACAGCTTAAAGCACCCTCTGGGCAGTTTGCAACATAATTATGCAATGAGCACTTTGCCTTCAAGCAAGCTGGGTGCTCATTTTACCAACCTCAGAAGAATGGAAGGTTGATTTAACCTCAAGCTGGCTAACCTGGGATTGAACTCAGGTCATGCGCAGAGTCTTGGCTGCAGTGCTGCAGTTTAACCACTGTGTCACAAGGCTCCTATTAGAGATACAAAGATGGCATGGCTTAAATGCCATTTGCAAAGGGCAGATTTGGTGGCATACATGTCGTTGCTCCACTGGACAGGAGAGGAAATTAGAAGAGAGGAGGTTGGAGAGGAGAAACACAGGAGTGGCGAATGTGTGGACCTCCCAGATGTTGTTCTGCAGCTCTTGTTACCTCTTGCCATTGGCTTGCTAGCTAGAGCAGACAGGAGTTGCAGTCCAACAATAGAGGATCACATGTTCTCCGCCCCTGCTTTAAGGATATGACCTGTTTGATTGTGGAAGACATGTAAGCAGGGGCTGAACAACCATTTGTTGGACAATGCTGTAGCTGGAGAATCCTGCGATAAGGGGTGGAATTCATACTGTGTGGCTTCTAATTAGAGATAGGTACAAATTGATTAGTGCTGCTTTGTATGAATTCCAACATGCAGCACCATAGGTTTTCTTCTCTGGCAGCGGAGCAGTCCAGATAGGAGCTCAGGCTGCTTTTCCCCACCTCCTCTGGCAGCTGACCATTCAATGGCTGTGCAGGGAGAATCCCTGCCCCGCCTCCTTGTCTGAACGGTTAGCTGCTGGAGGAGGCAGGGAAGGGCAGCTGAGCTCTGCCGACTGGACCACCGCAGGAGAAGTAAGACCATGAAGGATGGTTAATGGGCCAGCAGGCTGGGAGGTCGGGGAAGGGAACACATGGCAGCACTTCATACGAAGCAGCACCAATCAATTTGTGCCCATCTTTACTTCTAATGTAATTCATGGAGGATAAATCAGAGCAGTTTGCCATGATTTTAGCATAGAACAGGAGCAGATTAATGGCTTTTGTGCTGTGCTTCTCAATTTCCCATCAACATCTGCTTCAAACAAGATACAAGATGAGGTGGGCCATCAACCTGCCTGTT